ACTGTTAATAAATAACTTTATTATCCATAACTCATGTAACAGAGTAATAAAGAGTACAAGCGTTGTACCAACATGTATTTTTTACCAATACGTAATAATTCAACTAAATCGATTCGTGATTCGGCGCACGCGCATCGTGATGCGCAGGAGTTGATCCCTGTGAAAATTATCTTCTCTCTATGTGGGAATTGTTAAGGAAATGAGCTAAGGATTTGTAAAGATGAATTGTAGAAGGTTAAAAAAGGTTATCTATTTATTTCTGCTCTCTTACTATTAAGAATAGGGCAGTCTTTTGCTTTTCCACTTAAATTCGGGGTTCAGCGCTCTGATTGGCCGGCTCCAGTGAACCAACCAATCCGAGCGGCGAACGCGGTCGATACTATTTTGTTACGAATGCAATAGTCATTCGTGTTTGGGACTCGGATCCGATTTCAAAAACTTCTAAAAATATATTTATTTTATTTAATAATTTATGTACACACAAACAGCACAGAGAATAATACATATATAAAATAAGAGTACATAGGTGCTACTTATTCCTGCTGGAATTTCTTCCAGTAGACCTAAGACAGAAAATGTAATTACATAAGACACAGTGTGTAACAGAAAATATAGTTTTAGTTTATCTGTATATTTTATGTCTTCTGCCTTTGACTGCCTCTTTGGCCGAGTGGTCGCAAGTGCGACTGTCGGGCAAGGGGTCTCGAGTTCGATTCCCGGGTAGGGCAAAGCATTACTGGGTTTTTAAAAAATTCTCAGTAGTAGCACGGAGTCTGGAATTGTGCCCGGTATATGGCAATAGGCTCATCCCCTATTACATGGAACTCATAACATAAATAGTGAAAAGTGGGTGTTACATTGTACAGCGGCATAATGTGCACCTCTGCCTATCCCTTCAGGGATAAAAGGTGTGATGTTATGTAATGTTCTATGTCTTCTGTATAAATAAACAAGATAGGTACTATAAAAGGCTTTTTTCTTTGCTAATATTATATTTATATTGCATTTATTTTATCTTATACATTTTATCTTAGTTTCACCAAATAATAATATGATAAGTTGAAAGCCTGCAGAAATTCTTCGATGTCATTTCCCGTGTTGTAACAAATGGGCCTTCTCACTTTCTTGTTATGTGTCAGTAATGCGTTTTAGCCATTTTTGTTATGCCTGGATGTTTCCAAAGAATTTCTGCAATACTGCGTTCATTACTAAGAAGCGTATAGGAATTCAATTCCGGTGAAACTATTATTGTACCTTCTTTCTATTATGCTACATTAGGTAGATGAGTACGAGTAACTTGGCATTCTTCATATTGTGTGAAATCGTTGATTTAGATAGAATGACTATTGTGTTTATTAAGTGAGATATATTCGTATTTATTGTCTACTAGCTGTTGCCCGCTACTTTGTCTGCGTAGAATATTAATTTTTTTTAGAACATACTTTTGCTTGTTCCAATTTTCCAAAATAAATGCCTATGTTACTCATTGACGGACAAAAATTGCAAAAAAAATATTTTGGTATGTCATATGTACTTATGTAGTAAAACGCGCTTATTTTAATACTGCAAACAGACACTCCCGATTTTATTTATCGGTATAGCTTAACTTTTGTTTCAATATTATTTTGGTTAATCAATTCAATATTATCTTTTATATTTATGATAAAAAGGGGAGGCGTTTTCATGGCTCCAATAAGACAAATCTTGTAAACAAACTCTTGCAAATAAATGTTTCAATATCTACAAAGCCCACCTAGCAACACTACTAATTAACAAAGATATTTAATGACCAAACCAGTTTACTTAGAAAAGAATTAATGACAAACAGTCAAGTGTGAGGTCGACATTACGAATAACAGTTTAAGTTAACAACATTCCTTAATTTCTACGAAGTAATAATACTAGAGAGTTGTATTAACGTACACAGTCATCAACTGTAACTATTATTTCGCTAAAGTAATTTGTTCGTGTGATGTAATGCCGAAATTACGGTCATATGTGGGTTCATACTGCGGGTCAGATGTCACTGAATGGCGACCGAAACTAGCATTAATATTGTGCGTCGTTTCTCTATGGTTTTTTCTTCTTATACAATCTTGAAATTGCGTATGATGGGTAGATGTGTGTGCGTGGAAAGGCAGTATGTGTAACAAGAGGGATTATTCCGAATAATTATAAGCCCCTGGTTACCAGCCATATGTAGGTTCATTCAAAACGAAAAATCCTTTTAGTGAATCCTTTTTGAAACCCCTAGTTGTATCCTGGGCTCCATGTTAGTACTACGTACGTACACGAGATCCAAAATCCAATCCACGTAGTTCTAGGCAAAGGTTTCAAGTGTGGGCTATGCTTCGGCACGAATGGGCCGGCTCGACTGGAGTGATACCACGACCTCACAGAAAACCGACGTGAAACAACGCTTGCGATGTATTTCTTCGTGTGAGAAGTTACCGGGGGCCTAGTTAACCGTTAGTTAAAAATTAAACTGTTCCCCCATTATCTCCAATCTCTGAACGTCCAACAATCCTAATCCCTAAAAGGCCAGTAACGCACTTTTAACGCCTCTGGTGTTCCGGGTGTCCGAAGGCCGCGCGCTGATTGCTTACCATCAGGAGATCCGTCTGCTCGTTTTTCATCCCATAAAAAAGTCGATTTAAAAACTTCAAGTTCTTATTTGTAGCCTCTAAGTCTAAACCAACAAGTCGTATCAACTTTTTTAATTTTTTAATCAATGAGAAGAAAGTTATTTTTAAAATCGTTTTGGGTTAGGCTTTAAATGTATACTAATGCTCACGGAAACATGATTTATGTGACAAAAGTATCGTTTGATTTATGTGAGAGATACCAGTTTCTGTCACCAATGAATCTTTGTATTGATAGTCGAGTTTGTTGACAAACATAAACTTTCGCGTTATTTTACATTTTTCATCTCTCGTCCGTAGTAACTTTGATGATTTTATAAAATAAGGAAATGTTGAAATATTGATAACGATGAAGTGGTATGTTATTACAGCCTTATTGACAATGTTTAACTTTTGATGCAAAATACAAATAATACCTATGTATGTCCGGTTCCTTAAGTTACGTGTGGTCGACGTAATTTCTTTCCTTATTTTTCATACGGTTCACCTACTTTTTCACCGGTATTCTTATACTCTTCCATACTTCTTTATCAGTTCATTAAAGATACAGGTACAGATCGCAGCGTATAAGGTTCAGCTTTATCAGAGGGTGTTGGTTGGTGCACGGTCGCTACCCAACGTGAAGTCTCTTAGTCTGTTCACCCAAGAGAAAAGTGACGTGTGAATTGTAATATGTACTTTTAATTCATTTAACTAATCATTCAAGATACATACGTACAGAATGTCTCACTAAACGAATTTCACCTATTTCCAATATCTTAATGACGATCCGAAACTTTCCATATTTTGACATAAATGACATGTAATTAATAGAAATTGAAGAAGATCCCTAACGTTTCGTATGATGACAATATTAAAGTTAATTTCCTTTCAATCTAAGCCAAGTATCATAATCATAAGCTTGATAATCGTTATTGCAGTAATTAAGATGTTTATCTAGAGTCTAGATTTAAAGTCAGATCTAATCAAGACCTGCAAGTGATCTGCAGAAAATGTGTAGCTGTTAAATTATTTTATTAGTTGGAAAGTTCGTAAATCATACGAGGAAAAATTATGTCCGAGCGTTAGACAATATTTGTATGTTTTTGGCAAACTTATAGGTACATAGATTTCATAATTAACGGGTTAATGATGATGAGCGATAGTTACGCTTAACATACGACCAACATCAAAAAATAAAACAATTACACTCATAGTCTAGGAAGGAATTCATAGCATATAACATAACAAACAACAAACAATAAACACGACTAAAAACCAACTCAAAATCAACACCACAAAGTCTAAAACCTATCAACATAACACGGCAAATACATACGTACAGAATGTCTCGCAAAACGTGATAATTACGCCACTGCCATTTCCCATGAAACTAAGGTCACTGTCCACGACAGACTGAATATCTTACAAATAGTGTATCTCACGCAAATCTATCATAAATCATAACATTATCAGCTCCGCTGCCATTTTAACTGCTTTCTATTCAAATGCACATAAGTGGTACAAAGAAAGTTAGAACATGTTTTCACTTTTCATACGTATAAGTTATATCATCAGCCGTAATGATGTGATTTGTACGGTTGCGTCACGTTCACCTTGAATTGGAACTGGTTTTCTGAATTATTTTCGTGTATTTTTTTTGTGGATGCATGTGTTTAGAGTGTTAGTTTAATTTGAGTGTTTAATTGTTGAAGATAGGGTTTCAACATACAATGGAAATGTTTCTAAACTATTATTTGTACGGTATCTATCGAATTTTTCAACTAGTGTAACCTGATTCAGAAACCATTAACTTCCACATATCTATGGATTTTCATTTTTAAACGTGTATTATCTACCGTCGACTATCATTATTAAGAGTCAATAAATACTCAGAACCATTAAAACTTCATAACACATTCGTACACCAAGAATAGACTGTATTAAAAGAACTAGGTTATCCATAAACAAACAAGAGCCTTTAAATACACGCTGCATCATAACACAAACATGTCCCACCTCTATTCACGGAACATGTCCTAGTCACATCACTATCTGCTAGTCTATGACTAAGGACTGAGTAATAGTGTTGGATATAGACGGGCGGCGACAGGCGCTGGCGCAGCCACTAATTATAACTAGTTAGTAGGAAATGATCAACTAGTCTAAGATATCTATATCGAGTGAAAAGTGACCGGTTTATCGATAAAATTGTCTATTAATAGATGTTAATTTCAGACTGTTGTATATACTTCTAATATATTTAATAGATTAATAAAATAAGGCTTCTTAGTATAATACAATATTCATAGAACCAATATCATACAAATGAGCTAAATTTTCTGACCCAACTAACCTCTTCTCCATCTTCTATTACAGCGCTGGCCGCAGAAGGCGGAACCCGCTGGCGTTATACACAGAAGATGACGGTCACGACCTGAGTGACCTTGGCATTGGCACCTCCAGCACCAAGAGCAGTCTCAGCGAGGACTGCGACACACATAGCCTGGCTGTAAGTACCCGCATCATAGAAATACTTATGGTAATGAAGAAATTCTTTGGTTAATGACTGATAATACTATTGAAGGTGAATGCTATACAGAGATAAATTGCACAAACTAGTTCACTGTGAAATTGGTGCATATCGATAATCTTTAATCATTCTCGTATTTGGTTTTACAAAACGATTAACAGTAACTTTTTCAATTTTCAGAGCGACGGTATCGACCTGGATAAAAATCATTCAGATGTCGACAATCTGTCGAATTGCGACACAAACCGCAAGCTTGGCTCCAGCGCCAACGAATACGACACCTGCACGACCACCACCATCAGCTCCCCGGAACCCGAGGAGTACACATACGAGGGAGCCATCGAAGGCTACAAGTCTAGAATCATTTCACAAACTAACAGCAACATTGTTAAAACTGTTGTGAATAATAACTTCAAAGAGAAGTCACCAGAGAAAAATGGAGACCTCAACAGAATCAGGACAAACGTCAGCAACAAAATCGAAGAGAAACTCTCCTCCTTCCAACAAGAGAGAGCCAACGATACAAAGAACAACAACCAGAAGAAAGACTTGCCCAAAGTCGACATACACAAGAGGAGGGAACAATTCGAGAGAGAGAACTCTCAAGAGCCACAGGCGAATAAACCTAAACTCCCCGATATTGCGAACAAAAAATCTATCAAGGAAAGACTGTCTAGTTTAGAAAAGTTCACAGAAGACTCGCACATTCAGAAGTCTACGAGCGACCTGACTAAGTTACCTACAGAAGTGAAGCCGTTGAAAGAACGACTGTCTTCACTTGAAAAAGTTAAGTCCACTGAACCAGAAAAAGTAAAGAGGTTGTCAAACGGAGATCTCAGCAATACGCGGTCCTTGAAGGAGCGCCTTTCCAGCCTAAAGTCACAGACCTCTGAAGAAGAAACGAAGCCCACAAAAACTGAAGTGAAAGAGGTATCTATGAGTCTGAAAGAGCGATTGTCTTGTCTTGATGCGGCCAAAAATAAGGAGATACCAAAAATATCCGTAGAAGAAGAATTGGCACACAAAGATATGGAAATCAAGGTTGAAGAGACAAAAGAAACATTGATGGAGAGTTCCCTTAAATCGAGTCTGTCTGGCATCGAAAGTCAAATGCAAAGCTTCTGTCGCTCTTTGGATAGTTTGGACATCAATGGACAAACTTCTCCAAATTCATTTGACAGAGTCCAAAGTTTGGAAGACTTCGACTGCGCTGAAATGCAGAACAACACCGTCCCGAGCGACATCGAGACGGAAGACAGTGGGATCCACACCGCCAGGGATTCCTGCGTCCCTGCTGATGACATAGCTGACTTGACACAAGTGGCGTCACCTGTTGGAGAGCCCATGATCGAGGCATCCGAGTATGAGTCCTCCAATGAAGATGGAACAGCCATGGACGCGAAAATCGAAGAGATGGACAAGATGCCTGAGCCTATTCAGCTAATGCAAGACATCATAGTCGAAGAATCTGAAGAGCAGGACGTCAAAACTGATGATGATAGCGCCAGCAACTACCTGCAGGCTGTCTCTCAGCCCGAGGAACTGAGTGTGACTGAGGTCACTGAGATACAACTGGACAAAGACGACGAAGACACACTAAAAAGTTTGGAAAACCAGGACACCAGTGTAAGTTTGAATGAGCCTGTCTCCACCGGGTCGGAAAGCGACACAGTGGTTTTCGAGGGGAAAATGACAATACATCTTAATCTGAATGAAATATGCAACAATATGAGCGCCGGTGCCGGGACTACTAACAATGTTAGCTCTACTAACAGCATGCCAATGGTAACTGTCTCTAATATCACAACTATTACTAACATCTCACCTAAGAACTCAGTTAAAGCGCTAAAAAGTAACGATATACCCGACTTGTCTTATACATCAGAGTGTTCACTTGTCAAACTAGATAATTCACCTAATCATAATACTGTAAGCATTAAAGATATACATGAACCTCGTGACGTTGCAGCTGCCCGGGGCGAAGTAGCGGTAAGTACCTCGCAGGACGACAATCCGTTCTGGGAGAAGCGGACTAAGCGTAGGATAGAACCCAATAGGCGAAAAACTATATTATTTATTAACAATAAGATAAAAACACAAACTATGAGTAGTCCTGTAGCTAACGATGAGGTTTAGTTCACTATAACTGTCGCGTCATCATCATGCCATCCTTGTAACGAGAGCATGTGATTGATAGGTCTCTGCTTATCAATCGATAAATCAACGAAGTAGGAACTTACTTGACATACTCTTGAATATTGCATAATAAATGTAAATGCTAGTGGAAATAATAATACGACCCCAAATTCTTATAAATTAGTCTCGAATCTTGTTGGGTTGGACTAAAGTAATTTTAGTAATGACACAAAGTGATCAATTTTTGATAATATTGTAAAGGCGTGTTCACATATTGCCGTGCAATGCGTTTAGTCGCAGAGCTGATTTGATATAGTGAATGTCACAAACGAGCCTGTCTCACCAAAAACAATTCATTTCCATACCATTCTCATGTATTGCTTCGCAAGTTTAGATGAGAATTACCATGGAACCCATAGTTTATGATCAATTGATCTCACACACTCAGTCATCACTAATATCACCTGTGTTTATAGCCCCATTTATTAATACTCTAAAATAAATTAGATATTATATTTTTAACATACACCACCGTGCTAAACCAAAGAATTCCGCTGTATCGAGGATTCCCGCACACGTAAGACGTATCATTATATTTGTGTCATCAAATACCTCCAGTCGCACATTGTAGACGAGGATCAAATAATTAATTTTATTAACACACATTATAGTTGGATATATTTTTAGTAATCATTAAAGTGCATGTTACGATTAGTCTTCAATGTGCGATCGATGTTAACGGTACTAAAGCCACTAAAGGCGGCGACAGACTAGTCGTCAGGGGAGAAGTCGCTCGTGTAGACGAGCCTTTAGTCATACAGGGTTATGTACGTAGTGTCACAGTTGTATAGTATACCGTATTCATATACATGTAGCTTAGAACCCCAGTATTTATTCATTTATTTAACGTGATATGTAAAATTATATCAAAATACATGTTGCATAGTTATTTGTATGAGTTTTATTTATGTATAGATATAGTTATCATTTATCCTGAAACATTAAAAAAAATATATCTTTATTAAACATCTTTAAGCATTTAATATTATAATATACAAAATATATCAATGTCTCAACTGCGTTTAAGCGCAAAAATTAAATCAACCTTTTGTTTGCCTCTTTATATTTTAAATAGGCACACATAAGCTCCAACCCTATTATAGTTATCTAAACATCTTTAATATCAATAAAGTATGCCATTATCAATATTGTATGTAATATAACAAATAACAATATAATTATCATACCTTATCACACGCAATCATTAATAAAATGGTATAATATTATGTATGAAATCAGTACAATGTTATCTCTGCTGGCTTATCTTAGACAAACATTTTTTATCTGTGGCTAAATCAAGACAGTGTGATAAGTGGTCTCTGAGAGAGTAGGCGAGCTAGTTTCAATATTTTGCAAATTAGTGGTGGCGGGAATGAGAAGGTAAGAACATCTTCAAAAGCTCTGGGTCTCGCTTCATTTTTCATTTGCGTCTAACCAAAACAGCTTCTGCATGCATCTTTCGCACAAACCCTTGTTAAAACCGTATTTTTTTCTTCCGTATTTCTGTTACACAAGTTTAGCTTCTATTTCGAATAGATTAGTGTTGGTTTATAATAGTTTTTTCTTAGTTTCTAATTTTAAAACGATTTTTTTTTCTAAATGTGTTGTCGTTTGTTTTTTTAATGGAATTAGCTTTTTTATCTACAATTTTTTAAATCTTTTATTATTGTGTTAATTTTCTGTTAAATGTAATGTAGAAGCACATCAAACTATAATAGTTTTCCACTATGTTAAAGTAAAATAATTTTCAAGCAACTCTTGCTTGCACAGAACACAATGCTTCTACAATGCAACGTTTTAAATAATTCTTAATGTTGTCCTCAATTTTGGATGTCTATTAATCATGTTCCTATCTCCAGGTCATTGATGCTTTAGAGCTGGCATTCAAAGAACTTGACTCAGAAGACAGTGCTGTGATGGACGACACTGTAGAACTAAGAAAGAAGGATGACTTCATTGATAAGAAGATAGACGTGACGCCATTGTATGAAAACATGGATATCTTCTATCAGAATTCCTCTGAGTTCTCTCCAGAGAATGCCTTCCCTCTGGACATGCCTACCAATATCTTGGAGCCTCCGAAAGAGAAGCCTCCTCCACCTCCTACTGAGGATGGACCTGAAGACGAACTGCTGGGAATTGTGAGTAGATATGAATTTGTGTCTTCAAAGTTATTATTGGTTTGTACAGTTAGACATTAGTAAAAAGCTGAGTCTTATTTTTTTATAATTTCATACTATATTCATCTTAAAACTCTTATGATCAAATCTTCAGTCAACAATTCGTTAATTAAGAACTACGCACGTAGTAAAATGTTGGGTTATCACTAGGGATCATAAAGTTTTACAATACAATGGCTGCTATACTATCTAACTGTTCACTGATGGTAATCACGTAGTAAATTTTATATCTTATATTTACTATTATATAAAGCTGAACAGTATGTTTGTTTGAACGCGCTAATCGCCACAACTACTGGTCGGATATGAATAATTATTTTTTGTGTTTGATAGTGTATTTATCGAAAAAGGCTATAGGCTATAAAACATCACGCTATGATTAATAGCAGCTGAGCAAAGCCCCAGCTTTGTGCAACTACCAAGCGGATTCCTCCGAACGCGTATGGAAGTAGCCAGTTAGATCATAAAGCTAGTGCAATATTGACTATCAAATCTTTTTGATAGTCAACATTTTCTGTCTCCAAACATATGAATAATGAAATTCTTCATCAAATTCCAGGGTAACTTCAAACACACGAGTTCAGCGCGCCGCATCAAGAAGGAGATCCGTAACAAACGTACCAGCTTCCTCGGCATCGAAGGTCAAGATGACAGTTACCTGGATGTAGACCTCACATTGGCTCCGAGACCTGATATCACCTCCTTCCTTCAAGAAGAGACCAAAATAGAGAAGTTGCTGTACAAGAAGACTCTGTCTCATGATATGGATGCTAAGCTGAGGGAAAGTCGGGATTCTGGCGTCGATGTAGACCGAGGACCTTCAGCTGAAGCCTGGTACAAGGGGCACTCGTCTCCGGAGACATCTAGTCCTCATAGCAGACAGAATAGTGAGGTGGGTTTTATATTTTACTAGCTTTTGCCCGCGACATCGTCCGCGTTGAATATAATTCCTGTTTTATCCCATGGGAGCATTTATTCGGGATAAAAACCTAACTCACCTTTATCTGTATACGAAATTTAATCAAATTCCGTTTAGTAGTTTCAGCGTGATTGACAGGCAAACGTCTAAACATCCAAACAAAGAAGTTTTCACATTTGTAATATTAGTGTGATGAACTTTAGTCTGACTATTATTTATCAGATTAGATCTATCAGTTTATTAGAGTAGATCTATCAATCCCATTTGTATATAAAGGAATATAAGGAAGACTTGGAATATTATAAACTTCTTTGGAACGTAGGTAGATGTTTTTATGCACCATGCTACAATGTTTTATACAACAAAACGTAATTGTGTCCTTTTCCTATCACTTTGCTTAACTCGTTTACTAGTGTTAAGTCTCACAGTGAGCTAAAATCCCCGGTGTGAAGTCATTGTTCCAAAACAAGATAAAGTAACCACTAACCAGTATCTGTTATCAGATTATAAACACATAACAAAAGGATATCCCCACCGGGCCTCTGAACCTTGAACACTGGCTTAGAAAGCTGGTCAAGGTGCTACAGATCAAAGATTCTGATCCTTATTTAAGACTAGCTTTTACCCGCGGCTTCGCTCGCGTCACAAATGGATAAAAGTAGCCTATGTGACATATACCAATACACACAGCGCCATCTATACCAATTCTTTTGTTTTCCCTCGGGAATACCAAAATTTTGCGGGATAAAAAGTACCCTATTATTTAATCCGGTCTTCTAATTTTACGTCTGCAAAAATTCAAAGCAATCGGTTTAGAGGTTACGGCGTGAAAGCGGAACAAACAAACAAACAAACTCGCTTTCCCATTTATAATAGTAAGGATGAAAATATAATGTGCTAGATTTTAAGAACCTACTACTTAAGTACACGTTTTCAAAGTAGATCTCTTACGCTTGATGTCAGTAACTTTAGATTTACTTACTATTTATGCTTATTATTCAATATGTAGTAAAAACATCTACAGATGGATAGATTTTTTAGACTGACAATTGAATTTATAAAGGAACGTCAAATTCTTTGATTTTCAGAGTCTATCGTATCTTTACAAAGTATTAGAAAATATAGTTTCTTATCACTTTTAACTTACTTAGTCATATAGACGTAACATACCTTTCTTAGTGACTCACTAAATATACTCATATAAATACTGTTTTAGATAATTTTAAACACGTGAAAGATTATCCTAACACACCGCGTGTATCTATATACAAAAAGTAAAATATCAATACTAGATTACGAATGATTAATAGCCAACACAGTTGAAATTGCTGGTCATAAAAAGTTGGGCATCGATTGATTTAATAATTTGTGAAAATCAATTGGACTATAAGCCTCCACTACTTTAGAGAATTAGCACCAAGCGTACAGATTATTGTAATCTTCTATTATAAATAAAATATAAATAAATAAAATAAATATAAATAAAAGGTACAGATTATTATAAATACATCTGTACACTTGGTGCTTGCTGGAGATTGCAGTTCAAAGTTTTAGATTTATAAAAAAACATTGCTACTTAGTCTCTGTAACATGTATTACCCGCAGGAATATTAGGTGTGGTGGCTAACATATTCAACTCTGCTGTTACCACTTGGCTTAGAAAATTTACCAAATGATACGCAACATTAAGTACTTATGACGATAAAGAGCTGTTAATAATGGTGTAAATAATTTTCTATTATCTTACCTAGGAACTATTAGTTCTAATAAGTAGGTAGTGTAACGAGGAAGCATTAGATAGAAAATATCTGATAATATTTTATGGCGAATCATGATATAGATAGCTTAGATTACATGTTTATGACTGCGTCCAATGGTCGAGTCACAAGTAAGAAGGTACGATTCGTAAATCAAATATCAAATGAACTCGTATCTTACCCGATATATGACAATAGACTACCCAAATCCAACAAAATACACTTAAAAATAACTTAAATTCAAAGAATAAAACAAAATAAAATAAGTGTGGGAGAGCCATGCTTCGGTACGAATGGGCCGGCTCGACCGGAGTGATACCACGGCCTCACAAAAAACCGACGTGAAGCAACGCTTGCGTTGTGTTTCGTCGTGTGAGTGAGGTTACCGTAGGCCCAATTACCTTCCCCTTCCCCAATCTCCCCAATCCCTGAATCCCCAACGATCCTCAAACTCCTAATCCCCAAAAAGCCGGTGACGCACTTGTAACGGCTCTGGTGTTCCAGGTGTCCACGGGCGACGCCGATTGCTTACCATCAGGTGATCCGTCTGCTCGTTTACCGGCTTATGCCATTAACAAAAAAAAAACAAAAGTTACCTTTATTTTAACCTCACAAACATTTAAATTCCAGCCCTACACCCACGTTACGGTGACGTCAGATGAGGAGGAATCTACAAAGAAACACCAAGAGACCTTCAGCTCCAACCTGAACTCTAAGCTGAGTGAGCTGACGGAACCTTCAGACAAGATCGACAGCCTCGACAAAACTATACAGCAACAACAGGTACTATCGCCATAATACACTCCTATATACACTATTATACTGGGATTGTCGAAGTAAAAAGGTATTTTGAAAGGTATTTACGTAAAAGGTTTAAAAGGTCTTGATTACATTTTGAATCTTAACTGTGTGCATTAAAGTTGAAAATCTGTTGAAGAAATATGACAGATTGTTGTGTCTTTCTTTGCTGTGGCAGGTCGAGAAAATGAATTTTTGTTCAAACGTGGTTTATACACTACAAGAAAATTGTGTAGAGTATCCAAATCCACGTCTTCGTTGACCTGGCTTCATTATCAGATTATTTTAAGTACTATAAATATTTGCTTTTAAAGTACTAAGTACAAAGGTATGCATACCCGTGTAATCATTAAGTCATTGATAAAACAGTGACTAATTTATTAAATAGATATTTATCAGTCAACGTCACTTTAATATGAAGTCATGAAAATATTTTGTTGATTGTACTTTGATACTTACGAAAAATGTTGAAATATATATGATCGTTATGATAGCTATAAATATCTACTTGAGCTAATTTTAAACCAAATATCACCTTTTCAAAAAACCTTCTTTATTTCTGGTATATTTTGATTTGGCACTACATTTCGTTGATATCATTTGCACCATTAGCGGGGTCTGCTATGAAAAAACTTACGAAATATACCTTTATTCGTTTTTTAAACGATAGATTTTTATTCGAAATTACACCTGGTCGGAATCATTATTGCAATATTCTTTCATAGCAGATTCTTCAGCTAGTTAGTATGCTAAAAATGGTGGTGGATGGTTCTTGGACTGATTAATATTCATGTTTCAATCATTAATTAATCACTAAAATGTTCAACTATTGAATAATTTAGTGTCAAGTCAAATATAACACTATTTTTGTATTCTTTCTTCTTCATTTCATTCTTATGAAATGCTATTTAGAAGATATCTGTTAGAGAATTATTTTCCATATATTTTTTTCATATTGTTTCCTATTTTTTCTGTTAGTGAGTTGAATGTACGTGCTAAAAACTCGCTTTAAAAGCAACCTTAATTTGTATTCTATATGGTTGATTTTCTAGCAGTTTTTTCGAATGTATTTCATCACTGTACAAATTGTAGATCTCTTTAAACTTTATATTTTATAAGCTATATTTTGTATGGGAACATTTTTTGGTTATGTCTCGAATTCTCCGCTTTGGTGATTAGTTTTTTAGGCGGTTAATTTACTTCAGCCACTTTCGCTTTTAACTGCAGATTAAAGATGGCGATTGTTATAACCAATTTTTGGTCTAAATCAAAGATATTTTTCATCACTTTGAAAATACGATATTTACCAAATTATTCTCCTTTATATTTGGTGTATTTGTTTCGAAAGCTAAAGTGGCTATATCTTTCCTATTTCTTTGTATATTAATGCTAAGTATACAACTATCTCTTAAGGGGCTAGCACTGTATATGCTTTGCAAGCACTAGAATAAGTTAATACATTATTATATTATGTGATTAATTTACCGTTGTTTTAAATGCCACTAAAAAAACGAACAAAATTTACTACCAAATAGACGCTAGGTATAAGTTTATAGAAAATACTTAAAAAATAATTTAGAGGCTATGTTTGTAGGTAGATAATTTAAATTAAAAAAGTAATTTAATGTGTAGTTGTTAAGAAATTGTTAATTTCTTTATATCTGTAAATAATGTGGTATTTAAAACATATAGAATGCTGCCATTAACACTTTACATTGCTTTTTAACGCTTTTTTAAATTTCAAAATAGTTTCAGTTGGGATATTAAAAAGAAAACGTCTAAATTAGTCACAAAAGTAGTTCGTGTTTATGTATCTTTGTATCTTTAAATAAAAATTATTTATTTTAATTATTATTAGCCTTTTATTTTTACACTGCTATCGACGTGATATTTTATAATGCACTAGCATGTTGCACAGAATGTCTTGTAGTGTTCTTTATAATTATATTTTATATAGTTTTCTAATATTTTCTAGAATTTTCTTGCACGTTTTAGTAGAATATTGAACGTAAAACATGCACCTTTAATTACTTGCTCAAATGTAATTTAGTTATAATTTTTACGAGTGTCTATAATGGAAATACGTTTTACATTGTTTATTGCTAAACATTTTACTTTATTCTAACATTGTAACCATCATATTTAAAAGAAAATTCATATTATTTTATGTGCCTGTCATTTTAGTTATTTATGTCCTTCAAAGTCTTCATAGAATTTTAGTTTATTACGAAATCAGACACATTGTCCCATGGAAAACAGTACTGAACACTAACTAAATCATAGATAAGGAGATTCACAAAATATAAACCTGAATAAAACACATAAATACTCATATACAGTAAAACAAATGTTACAGCTTAACTAATACAGCTTAAAATAACAATAAATATTATGGTTCGCAACTGGCCGCCATTTTGTGTTGTAAATAACAAAGTGTGGCGTGGCGTCACTTTGCAGGAGTGTTCCACTAACGAGGACTGGCCCGACGGGGCTTATGACGATGCAAACACCAAGGTGAACACATTTTGACACTTACATTACATTATATTTAGGGAAATTTCGGTTTTACAGAATTTTAAAACCTATCCACTGTGATATAAAGGTCTATCAGGCCGGGCGGTCTTTACAGTAGAATCTATGTAGATAATTTCATGGAAATTTGATATGACGAAAATCTCCAAATTCTCTCTATGAGTCTATGAAACCGAAGTTTCCTTCACAAACCCCATTACACTGAGTGTGTATAAATTAATATCTGTGTTTAATCCACGCTAGCTTAAAGCCTTGCACTTCATATAAATGTCACTAAAATTAAAATAAATGTAAACTAATTAATAAAAAAATTAAGGACTTTTAACCATTAATTTGTAAGGTCCTATATCTACTTTTAAGTTACTAACAAAATACATTAATCTACTTGTAACATATCATTAAAAATGGAAAAATAACAACAAATAAAATTAAGATAACAATACTTAGATTAAGTTAACAAAAACTGTTTATAAACTGTAACATTGTACATTTCTCTAACCCCACCCTTAGAGGACCTTACAACACTGTACCTACCACAAATCACTAAAACACTTTTTTCCAACAACTAGGAAGTACTTCGCTTCGAAAGGGAGCTACTGCAACTGGAACAGGAAGAGCTGCGCCGTCAAAGAGAGAACCTGCTCCGAGATCAGACCAGGATCATCCAGAAGTCAGTCCAGGACATATCCTCGATCCCCTCCTCTCCTGAGAAACCCCCTCTCAATAGAACACCTGCGAACCCTCACTACCGCCATTCTATGCCAAATCTCCTCTTAAATGAGAACATCCCTTCAATTCCACCTGCAGTGCCAGAAAGACAAATGGATGAACGAATGGTGGATGAGAAACGCAAGCCATTTGTGTCAGAGGAACATATGCAAAGGCATTTTGGTGTTGAGGAGAGTCGGAGGGTCCTATACGAGAGGAAAGAGGTTAGAGCACAGCCTATGAGAGTACCCCAACCTGTGTTACCTCCCAAACCGAAGAGTCGAGAGTCTATTGAGAGGGAAATTACTATGAGGTTAGTATGTAATATTTTTAGTAAACGTAATATCAGCAGTAGTGAAAAGATGTTTTTGCTATCAACCTATTTAGATCCTATCCACTGTGGGTTTCAATTATAAATCGTATTCACCCCTGGAACAACCTTTTCAGTTTTCTGGGTCACTTATACATAGTTATTATATAGGCTCACCCCCGATTACATGGGACTCATAACATAAATAGTGAAAAGTGGGTGTTACATTGTACAGTAGCATAATGTACACCTCTGCCTACCCTTTCGGGGATAAAATGCGTCATGTAAAGTATCTTAATATTACAGTTAATCCGTGAGATCAACCTCCGTCAACCGTCCAATCTCTTGCGCCAAGTATACTAAGTATAATATAGTATAATATAGATGTTGCCCGCAACTTCGTCCGCGTAGAGTATGGTTCCTGTTTATCCCATGGGAGCATTCAATCGGGATAAAAATCTAACTCAGCCCATACCCTGCCTGTATACCAAATCCGTTCAGTAGTTTCAGCGTGATTGACGGACAAACATCCAAACAAAGAAACTTTCACATTTATAATATTAGTCTGATGACGTACTCGCCGTATGTTTCCAGGAGCAGTCGCGTGCCTTCAGCAGTGGAGTACGCCAACGTGCAACTGCGACAGAAGCCTGTGCCCAACGGCAATGCTGCTAACTACCATCCCATGACCAGGCACACGTTACAGGTACAGCTTTGTTTACATCAATTGTGGTGCAGGGGGCAAATGAGTAGTTGGGTCGTCTGATGGTAAGCAACAACTGCAATTAGCGCCACCTATAGACACTGACACCTGAGGAGTTCAAAACGTTGGTACACAATAACCCGAATAACGTCGTAGCGTGCTTGACAATAGACTCTCTACATAAATCTCTGCCAACAAGTTACATGTTAAAAAAAACATGTTAAAAATGTTAAAATATTAAACATAAAAATGTTAAAACAACATGTCAAAAAATCATGTTACAAACCAAAGGCTACCTACGCTTTTGACCCTTATCAAAAATAATTTTGCAGGCACTAAGCGCGGCACCGACCCCGAAACTGATCTCTAATACAGACTGGATGCAGGCGCGGAATAGAAAGCCAGCTAACTTCAACTACAACCAACACTGGCTTATACAGGTACTGATATCAATAATCATCATCATCATTTGTCATCTACAAGATGTTAGATATGTTGCAATTATTCTGAATCTAGAGTTTCCCTGTGACTTTTAAGTTTGTCCACCTTGTATTATCGATCAACCAACACACAAGACAAGAATTTATTTTTTAACAGTTCATAATGGTTTATAATTCTTACTAAACATTTATAAATTATTTGCACCCGATCACCGCTACATTTCTGTCATTGACAAAAAGTAATAATCCCCTATGATATTTCAGGAGGCAGAACAGCGTCGTCTAGATGAGCAGCGCAGTAAGGCGCGTGCGCAGCGCCACTCGTACCACCACGACGCCCCCCCTGCAATAGTGCCAGCCCCCCCTGCAGTGGTCCCCCCCGCGATGCCCCCGATGCCCCCTGCCGCAGCCCCTGCGCCCGCGCCGCTGTACGCCATGCACGCGCTCTCTACCAGGTAACACATTATGTGACAAGTATACAGTTGATTAATTAGTTAAAATTGTAACAAAATCACGCTATGATACGTTTACATAATGTATTTTAGTCAGAAAATGTATTTTTAGTTAATTTAGTATGTGTCACGATAGTTATTATAATAAAATGTATTACTTACCTCCTCACCTAATTAGGTAATACTATCCTTTTGTAATACAGGTTATCTTATAAGCGGGAGTGTTTACATAGATTTAAGTCCTCTAGAGTTAAGTTCCACTTAGGTAATGGTAAGTAACACATAGTCTCTTCTTTGAATTTCCTTTTAAATAGTAAAACAAATGAATTTTCTAACAAGTTTAAAGTATTGTGAACTGAAGTGCCATGATAAAAAAGGAAAGAAATTGGCAAACCAATTTTTTATAGATCTATACCGCGAGTGTGGGTAATACCCTTGTTTTTTTTTCGAATCTCACAGATAATTTGATGATAATTAACAAAATCCTTACCCTTAAAAAAATTATATTAAATTGTAATGAATAATTCCAGCCAGCAGCAGTTGTCAGACGTGAAGCGGCCAGTGCGGACGGAGCCGCGGGACGACAAATTGCTCAGTGTTAGCGGACGACGCAAGTGTTCACACTGTGGAGAGGAACTCGGTATGGAACTAACTTAGTATTAGTATTCTTAAACTTCACCTATAAGAATTTATGTTCGTTAGTCTCGCTAAAGGTCGATAACGGCTGGATAGATTTGATTAATTTTGATAGAGAGAAAACGGTGAGATAAAACATGTTAGAGGTGGATGAAGTTTGTCTGGTTATGTAGTAAAAAATAAAATTACATCCATAGGTCCATTGATCGCAAGCTGCTGAGCAAAAGTTCGTTCATTCAGGTTCTTATCAGTAGTATGAAGTTTAGAATACATTTTTGATTTGTTACGCGGCCAGGTCGCGGCGCGGCGATGATCATCGAGTCGCTGTCGCTGTGCTACCACGTGTGGTGCTTCACGTGCGCGGTGTGCGGCGCGCGGCTGGGCGACGGCCGCGCCGGCGCGGACGTGCGCGTGCGCAGCCGCCGTCTGCACTGCCAGCACTGCTACTCCTCCGACGACGGGCGCAAGTACTCCGCCGTCTAGCCACGGGGCTGCACGCTGCTAGCTCAGAGACTTCAATGAAACTTTAACTATTCCTTAATAACGATTTCCTTTCGAAAACAATTCGAAAGAACTGGGTTAAGTAACTATAATGGATTTGAGTACTGCGGTTAGAAACCATATAACGTAAACACTAGTCGAATGCTTTAGTATAGTCTGTGGTATTGACATTAGCTTACGTCAAATTTGACAGATGTCACTGTCAATCAAAGACTGGTCTTTTGCGTTCGACTAGCGTTTTTGTCTTTGGTTATTGAACTGTTCTACAATCTCTAAAAGCGTGATGACTTAAATCTATACGATTTGTTACATTTTCGGTCTGCTATTGATCTAAAGTACATACTCGGGCTGGTCCAAAGACTATAAGTGAAGTGAAATCACCTAGTTATACTAAATGTTTGTTAAAAATCTGAACTTATTTTTGTACTGTTTGTTTCACATTATAAATAATTATGTACAACTTTGTAGAGTCTTTGTTTAATAATCTCATGTTATCATGGTTCGTAAGGATATTACATTAGTTTTGAATGTGCCTGAATTTTTAATGTAACATAAGAAATGGCCAAATAACTCTATGTTAGGACGAGAGACGCCTTAATGTTAGACGGTCATTCAATACTTAGAGGTACCAACAAGTGCGATGCTGACATAGCGCGATAGTCTCCTACCACGCTGTCTGTCAGTATGTGTATGCGCCATCTCCAAAACGTCTAAGCGACTCAGCTGAGTTCTGAGTCGGCTACTGCACGCTTTTGATATATCTACACCCATCCCAAAGAGGGTAGGCAGCACGTGTTTCTCAACACTGTAAACATGATTTGTCGCATCATTTCGGACTATTTTGTGCCATGTCATATATGTCTTGTATCCACAACAAGTACACAGAAACAATATATTTAGGAATACCATTGAATTAATATTTTTATACTAATAAACGTTTACTTAATGTTTTGTGTAATGAAAATAAACAAGTTTTGTAATATTTTGTAAATAGTTTTTAATTTATACCTTATTGATTTAAAGGTTAGCTTTAATAGTTATTATTTTAGTTTAAAATATAAACATAATCCATCCAAAAATGTGTATTGTTTAATAAAGTATATTATCGTTGTGGTTGAATGCGAAATGGCTTAAATACTGAGACATCTTGACTAACAGATCTCACATTATTCTCATACTATCATCATTTATGATACAAGAATTAACTCTTCATTTTTTTTTTATTTTCTTTGAGAGAATTTAAGCTATTTTGTGTTCCCTGTGTTATATATCAGAGGGCTTAGTACGAATTTGTTTTCAGTTTACCAAGATCGAAATGTTACCACGTTCGACGCTCTGATTGGTCGGCTCCAGTGAACCCACCAATCAAAGCTCCGAACGCGGTCTCATATCGATTACTTGAAATGTAAACCAGACTCGTAGTAATCCCTCTATTTGCGTCACTAAACTGTCGTAAAATAAACGTATGATAGTACATTAACACGGTTGCACCTACTTGTAATTATATTAACTATAATATTGATACATATGTACATTCTCTACGTGTAAGCTGCAAATTGTATAACATTAAATATTTGAACTATACATACCGTTTTGTTTTACTTGTTAATGAATAACATAACATAACATCACGCTTTTTATCCCCGAAGGGGGTAGGCAGAGGTGTACATTATGCCACTGTTAATTAATGATGATAAGTTTTATTTTAAATAATCTTTCGCATTTCCTAATGGTATTTTTCTATCGACTCGACTATTTTTTGAACCAATTTGTGCGTGAACGTATCCATTCTAAAAAGTAAATGTAAGTAGTTAGCAGATGATAAATCAGGCCACCATTATTATGCCTTTATCTTTTGCTTCAACTCAGAACATATTTTAAATAGTGGTTGAAAGAGGTCGTAAGTGTGAGCGCACAAGACGTAGAACTATCTTTTTTTACGGGTTTAAGGGTTTACGAGCAGACGGATCACCTAATGGTAAGCAATCGGCGGCGCCTATGGATACCTGGAACACCAGCAGTGCTCCAAGTGCGTTACCGGTTTTTTGGGGATTAGGAATTTGAGGTTGTTGGGGATTCAGAGGGTAAAAGGGACGGGGGTAGGTAATTGGATCGCACACGACGAAACATAACGCAAGTGTTGTTTGACGGTTTTCTGCTCGGCCGTGGTATCACACCGGTCGAGCCGGCCCATTCGTGCCGAAGCATGGCTCTCCCACACTTCTTAAAAATTTCTTCTTTCTTTCTTAACATTTACAAACATTCATCTATTATATCACAAACTAGGTTGTATAAAAGTACTAAGTAGGTAGGTACTAAAATTGTCAGTATAACATCTGAATTCAGTAACAAATTACACATCCTCCCCCTGATAGCAACACTGATATTATGTAGTTATAAGATAGAATCGGAATTCCATTGTTCATTTAAGATAAATCATGAGAATAAGGATTTTAGCTCCTATTGTGAGGTTGTAGTCATAATTAAAATCCTTGTGTATGTATGAGTGTAACTCATATCAGAGGGCCGTGGTATTATATTCTAAACTTATACATGTTTTTAGCTAGTAAAAATTGTTAGTACTCCCTATAGACTGCATTTTGTTACGTACCAATTAAAACCAATTGATCTAACCAGGGCTGGAACTGTTCGAAATGATTAGTGACAATCCAATAGGTAAATTGATTTATAAAATTGATTACAAAAGGATAAGATTAAAAATAAACTCAGAAAATACGAATTTTCTCATTATTAAGGTCGGGAGTGCCAGCTCAGGGATTAATCGATGCCTATTTTATAAAACTTAGTATTTTTTAAGTAATCCTTTAAAGGTTAACAAGAATAATCGCGTAATACCATTAGACACGCTGCTCATATTAATCACCCCTTCCAAATATTGTCGATAAAAAGAAACAGGACCATGACGATGTTACAAATGTAAATAAAAACATTTAGCGTTTGTTTAATAACTTCAAGAAGAAGAATGAAAAAAAGAAATCATTTATTTGCTAATAATGTAGGTATACAACCTATAAGTTGGAATGAAGTCAATTGACAGAATACATTTTACCTTTCGGTATGCAAATTAAATTACAATGTGATATGAATGTCGTGAAGTAGATAATAGTAAGATACAGTCAAAAACACCGGCTCCCGGTACAAAACACATTATACCCGCAACTTTCAACAGACAAGAGGTTAAGTCAACGATTACAGATATAAAACTAACGAAGTATCTTAATTGATGTCATAAAATGGTCACTAACGCAATCAACACAAAAGTTTTGCTACTTATTATTATTAAAACGTACATTTTTCCTATAGAGTTCTGTACTGTATGCATGATTGCTAAATAAAAAGATTGGCTAAAAAGGAATTGTCTATTTCATTTAAGTAATTGATTACTGAATAAAAACCTGTTTAATTTCCCCCTTTTGCATCCAGCTGCCAATTTAAGATTTATTATTGTTCATTTATACCAGACTACAGAGCTCTTCAAAAGCCCATATTATTACCAAACAGCGAGATCATTATCATTCAATTTGTAAAAACTGTTAATAATAAATAACCATGAAAACTAGTAATGCCTTCTCTTATATTTTGATACAAAAGCACCCCTCAAATTCGCCATACATCTGCCGTGAGATCCATTTGATTGAAAGGTCCACCGCCACATACTTTTGTAAATTTACCTATGACGAACAAAACGTGTGCTTTATGTGTTCAGAGTTAAAGTTTATTTTGGTTTATCAGTTTTCTTATAATGAAAATGTTTAATAAATTCCCTCTGATGCTGGTATTATAATGGACCACTGGTCGATAAATGTTCTTTTGTTATTTAAAATGCTTTCCCACAGATTTTTTTTTATTTACAGTAAAAAGTTTGAAACTTAAATACCTAAGGATATTTTGCACGGTAGGGTTTTGAAATTAGAGTAAAAAAAGAAATAAATGTAAATAGTTCAGTCAAGTTAGATTTAAAAAAAAAAGACTAGCCTAACCAAACAATTACAAAATATTCTGAGAAACAACGCCAGCGATTCCAATTATTTTTTACAATTAAAAATTGGTTACCTTCTTACAACATAAGTAGGTATTGGTTCGGTACACACGTTCAAACGTGGAATAAAAAAGAATAGTAAAAGGAAATAATTACCTACTTATGTGTTGAAAAAATAGGAGCAAGTTTAATTAAAACTATGTTGTCATAATAACGTAGTGTCTGAAGAATAATGCAAATGTGACGTTAACACAATTGTAATGGAAGATATGCGCGTACATAACATAACATCACGCCTTTTTATCCTCGAAGGGGGTTTTTTAAGGGGGGAAAATCATCGAATGTCTGCTCCCGCCTGTGTGAGGCGGGAGGGATGTCAGACTCTTACTGACTAAACACCACCCCGTTCCTTCTCCTGCACGTCGAGCCGGAGCCCCGGTTACCCGTTAGGTTCTCCGCGACATCCTCGAAGGGGTAGGCAGAGGTGCAAATTAAGGCACTTTAATACCACTGTACAATGTAACACCCACTTTACACTATTTATGTTATGAGTCCCGTGTAATAGGGGGTGAGCCTATTTCCATATACCGGGAACCTATCCACCGTGCTACCACTGAGATGTTTTTTAAAGCTAAAGTAAATGAAGCAGGTTACTAAGGGACGTGCATAATGTAATGTAGCGATAGGTGAAGTGTAGCCTATTTTTAAATTCTTTAGTTTTCATCTGTTTAGTTTGGGTTTTAAAACCTACAAATCTCTTTTTTACGAGATCAGCCGGGAAATGAGCAGATGGATCACGTCGCCCATGGACACCTGAAACACCAGAGGCGTTACACTTGTAACGCCCCCAAAAGGAATTTGAGGATTGTTGGGGATTAAGGGATTGGGGAGATTGGGCAAGCAGGGAGGGGGGGGGGAGTAATTGGGCTTCCAGTAACCTCACTCACATGACGAAACACAATGCAAGCGTTGTTTTATGTCG